TTCTTTCTTTCTTTCTTTCTTTCTTTCTTTCTTTCTTTCTTTCATGTTTATCTATTCTGAGAGAGCACACAGGCAGGTTGGGGAGGGGCAGAGAGAGAGAATCCCAAGCAGGCTCTGCACTGTCAGCTCAGAGCCTGATGCGGGGCTCAATCTCACAAACCATGAGATCGTGACCTGAGCCAAGATCAAGAGACAGATGCCTAACCGACTGAGCCACGCAGGCGCCCCTCCAAGTGTGTTTCTCTAAAGGCAGAGAAAAGAGAATGAGTGTTTCCTGAGACTCTGTGGCAGGCTTCTGTTCTGTGACCTCAGGGCCACCCTCTGGGACCAGCCACCCCCTCAGGAGCCTACCCCTTACGTAGGTCGTGAGAACCAGGGTTTGGACGAAAGGCTGCGGGCTGATGTCATGTATATATATAATCCGAAATGAAGTGTGTTACCTTCTGGGAGAGAGATATTCCAGAACGTTCCAGGACAGCCCCCAGCTGCTTCCCAATACCTGCAGGCAGAATAGTCCGTGCCGTGCAGGTGGGTGGCTTGGCGGGCTTGGGCTCGGAGCAGAGAAAGCCACAAAGTCTTGAGCTTGATCGCCCTGAGCGCTCTAGTGACCCTGGTGGCAGCCCGAGTCAGGCCCGCTTCTGCTTTCCTGTGTTTCCTTCAAGGTGAGCAGAGCCTTTCGTTTTCTCACAAGACACGATGCAGCTGAAGGGGTTCCAGCTCTGGGAATCCAGTCACCCCAGCCTTGTCTTCCTGATGAACGTTGTGGGTGCTCAGAGCCTTCTCAGCCTCACATCAATAGGCCGTTAGGTTTCTGCTCAGCATGGCTGGTCAGACCCGTTATGAGGGGTTGGCGGGCTTGGCTGGCAGGGGCCAGTCTTTTTTCCAAGTTCTTTGAACACACTTCCCTGTACCGGAGGGTCCTGAGCGGTGGAGTTCCGTCTCACAAACATTCATTAGGGGCTGTGGGATCCAGGACGAGAGAGAAATGCTGTCTGCCGAGTGATGCTTATAATCTGTGGGAAAACAGACCCCCCCCCCCCCAGTAGGTAATTTGATTGCATTAGGAGAGGTGCAGTGGGAGAGGGGTTATGGAAGCCTAGAGGAGGGGTGCCGGTCTGTCTTGGGGAAGCTCTGGAAAGGCTTTCTGGAAGAAGCGGTGCCTGAGCTGGGTCTTTAAATAGCAATTTGCCTTGTGGGGAAGGGCCTTCCAGAAGACAATGAGGAGGGCAGCACACGTGCTGGCGGATGGGGAGACCGCAGGGGAGTCTGTTACCCAGGTGGGAAAAGAAAGGAAGGTAGAAACATCATAAAACCCATTTTGTAAGCTCTGCTTATTCCTACCGAGCTTGGATGTCATTCCGAGGACAGGAGGGTACAAAGATCAGATTTCCATTTTAAGAGGAGCACCCCACGTGTGTGGACGGATTGACGAGAGGCAGGCTGGCCACTGAAGGAATGCTCTGATGTAGACGGCAAAGGAAAGGCCTGACCTGAGGCAGGGCTTGTGGGGTTGGAGGAGAGGGGTGAGATTCAGAACCCGTTTAGGAGGTGAAAGTGACCAGAGCTTGCTGAGTGATTAGATCACGAGCGCTGTCATTTACTGAGCACCTGTCACATGCTGGGTTTAAGCAGGTAAATGAAGTTGCATAGTTGGTGAATGGTGGAGCCAGGATTGCAAACCAGAGGTCTCTGGCCCCAGCCCGTGCTCTCTCAACCATTTTGCGCCTGAGGGTGAGGAAGGGCAGGTACTGGCTTCTGACGTGAGTGCCCCCTCTTAGGTGGGAAGGATATGAAGCTTGGTGAAGTGGCCCACCTGCCGAGTGTCACGGGCCCACAAGCTCAGACCGGCCGGCTCCGCTGGCTTGGGCAGAGTGCAGCTCCTTGGTCCGTCTGGCGTGGTTTCGGGACCTTGGTGGTGGCCGTAGTGGAAGGAGGTGGAGTCGCCACGTTGTGCCAGTTAGAACCCACTGTCCGTTTCCTCGGCATGATGCACTAGAAAGGACGCACAGGTGATCCTGGCCCCGTTCCTTTCTAGCCCCGTGTCCTTGGGCCCCTCGGTGTTGTAATCTGTAAAATGGGACTGTGGTGCCTATCGGTCAGCTGTGAAGAGAAGACCAGTCAGCCAGTGCTGTGCTTGCCACCGAGAAGCTGTACCCCAGAGCTTAGGCGCTTACCGGGCTGCGGGACGGACTGTGATTGGCCCACAGAAGCTTGGGTCCGACTTCCAGTGGCTCCTGGAAGTAGAGGCCTTGGACAAGTCCCTTCACGCGGCCTCAGGTTTCTCCTGTCTAAGGACAGGATCTCATTCCTGGAAGGTGAGCAGTTAGGGTTAGACAGACAAGGTGCACTGAGCGTGGTTGGTGGCGGCCTGAAGTTGACGTGCTGATCAAAGATTTTATTAGGTTTAAGTTTGCTCTGGAAGTCGAGTGGGCCAAACCCAGCTCGTTGCCAAGCCCTTGGTTTTCAGGGTGTGAAAAGTAAAGGTTTCCTTAGCCCGCCTCTCGCCCAGGGCAGAGATCTCTTCTCTAACACACACAGGCCTCTGAACTCCTGTACCCCGCTCCCGCCCCTGTCAGCATCCCACCCCGGGTTCTGCCTCCCTCTCCTGGGGCGCCTGGGTACACTTCGCCGGATCATTCTCACCGACCTTCCACTCCCACACCTGCCTTTCCCGTCTTACCACGAGCTCTCCATCTGAAGAAGAAGGGTTCTGAAGAGCTGGCCCGGCCCTCGTTGGGGAGGAGGAGGCGACAAGGATGAGGCCGGTTACTCGGCAGGCCGCATCTTGGGGCAGGACACGTGCGCCATCACGGCGGGGCGCCGCACAGAGGGGTTCCTGCCAGGGGCTCGGGTTCTGGGCTTGTTTTCAGCTTTGGGGCTGCATCCTGTGGATGCTAGAGACCAGGAATTCGGTCTGGAGGGGTGTCTGGAGCTCGAGTCCAAGAGCTAGCCAGCTTCTCTGGGGGCTGGGGTCCGCGGCCCGCTAGTGTGAGCGCCCCCTCCCACTCAGGCAGTGGCTGGGACCCCGATACTCTGGCTCTGTCACTCGCAGAGGAGCACACACACTGATGCCCTGTTCCCCTCACCCCGGGCTGTACTCGGCTCTCTCTGCTCTGGGTAGTTGGGGTTCTTCGAGGCCTTAGCATATGAAAGCTGGAAAGTAGGAATCCTATTTAGTTGTTATTGGTCTTTTTCTCTGTAGAAACGAATGTCCGTGACCGAGGGGGGTATCAAATACCCCGAGACGACTGAGGGAGGCCGCCCCAAGCTTGGGGGGCTGATGGATCCAAGGCAGGGGGTGATCGAGCGGACTGGCCGCTGCCAGACCTGTGCAGGTGAGTGCTGGGGGGCTGGGGCGGCACCCCAAAGGGAGCAGGAGGCCGGGCTCCTTGGGCCCCGGCCCGAGGGTGGACACCTGGGGACCTGGTCTCTGAGGTGTGTGTCCCCACAGGAAACATGACAGAGTGCCCTGGCCACTTTGGCCACATTGAGCTGGCCAAACCTGTGTTTCACGTGGGCTTCCTGGTGAAGACGATGAAAGTTCTGCGCTGTGTCTGCTTCTTCTGCTCCAAACTTCTCGTGGACTCTGTGAGTGGGGGCGGGGGGGGGG